CAAACAAAAAAAAAAAAAAAGATAGAAATATGAATAATCCAAGGGAGATATTATATAGAGATTAATAATCGAGCAATATTAGACTTTTCGATTCGTTGGTGAAAGTTTCTACATTTCGCTTTTAACGCTCTCTAACATATTTACTTACATGTATATCTATATATGTATATATATATATATGATAATAATACTGCCTATCATTAGATCCAAACGTACACAATTCTAACGATGAGTTATGACATGACGTCCACGCGGAACAACGTTGTATATATTACCAAGCGAAAGTTCGTTCAAGTATAGAAAAATGGAAGAAATTTTCTTATCTTTTCTTTTCTTCCTTTCTTTTTTTCTTTTTTTTTTGTTTTAATTCAATTAATAGTAATAACAATTATATCTCACCTGTTGCAACGTATTATTTGAATTGTCAGATGAAATTGTCGATGATTGTTGTTGCTGCTGATTCCGATTCTCTATGACCGTTTTTATTTGCTCGAGTACCTGTCGAATGCATTCTTCTTAATTATTTAAACAAAGTGAAAAAAAAAAATAAAAAAAAAACGAAAAAAAAAAAGATGAAAAATGAAAAAAAAATTTGATACAAATTTTATAACTATAAAAAAAAAAAGAAAAAAAAATATAAACATCGCAAACGTTCGAGAATCCGATCGAAAAATTTTTCACAAAGAATTATTAATAATTATTAATAATTTTATTAATAATTTTTAATATTCTCAAACGATAACAAAACAAACAAACAAATGAATAAAATAAAATGAGAAAAAAATGAATACACTTTTCGACATTGTTTGACAGATAAACGAATGAGCATTTTTTTTCCCCCTAACAAGAGAGAGAATGAGCTGGGGAAGTAAAAAAAAAAAAAAAAAAAAAAGAAAAAAAAAGAAAAAAAAGGAAAAAAAGAAAAAAAAAAGAAAAAAAAAGTAAAAAAAAAAAGAAAAAAAAGAAGGAAAAAAATATGTTAAAAGAAACGATAAAACTTACTCGTAAGGATATCCTGTGCCTTTGTACTACGTACGGTGCATAGTCTTTGTGTTCGATCTCGTTGCTTTTCCTCTCTTGTCGTCGCTGTGTGCGTTGGATAATATGGAATAAAAGAAAGAAAGAGATAGAGAGATATATATATGGAGACATATGTAGAAACAAAGAAAACGTTAAGTGAATGAAATGAATAAATAAATATAAATATATATATATATATATATGTATATATGTATTATGTATGTATACATGTATGTATTGATGTACTTATATATATAAACACACAGACACACTTTCTTTATTTCGTGACTTTCCTCGATTATCAGAACGAAACGAAACGAAACGATGACGATATATTTGTGGATATTATTGTGGAGACATTGAATGGGTTAAAATTGTCTAATACGGGCCCCAAATTTTTATCTTGAATGGAACAAAAATATTGAAGATGAGTGAAAAGTTTTCTCAAGTGGGCTAAAATTTTCAATGACAGGAAAAAAAAGTTCTCACGAATGGACCAAAGATTTTTCAATTGAGCCAAAAGTATTCTCGAACGGGCCCAAAAATTTTCTTGAGTGGGCCAGTATCTTGACTGAAGTTTAATATTTTTTTCAAGCAGTCCATAAGTTCTTTTGGTTTAGCCAAACATTTTTCAAATGAGTCAAAAGTTTTCTCGAACGGACCCAAAAATTTTCTTGAGTGGGCCAGTTATCTTGACTGAAGTTTAATATTTTTTTCAAGCGGGCCAAAAGTTCTTTTGGTTTAGTCAAACATTTTCAAATGGGTCAAAAGTTTTCTTGAGTAGGCCCAAAAAATATTTCTTGAATGGGCCATATTCTATATAATGTATATATAATAAATATTATCTGCAAATAATAAATGTAAATGATTCCATGATATGATTTGATTAGGAAAAAAGAAAGGAAGAACAAAATAAAAAAAAAATTCTAATCTCCTATTAATCATGACCATGCAAAATAAACGTAAACAATTCGTGGAAGTGATTTGATTAGAAAAAAAAAAAAAAAAAAGAAAAGAAAGGAAGAAAAAAAATTGAATGGACGCTATTAGTTATAATTAAATTCATCGATATAGCTGTTAAAAAGTAAACAACAAGTAAGAATGATTAGAACGTAAAATAGGATCTCGTCATCGTGTAATCGTGCGAATAGAACATTAGAAGACGAGTCACGAGTCGATCCTAAGACATGTGTAACCGTCTTAATTCGATTCGCACGTGCTTAGAATATACTAAATGGTCGTATCTAAATCAAGCTAGACAATGATAATAATCATAGTCTTTTCTTAATATTCTTCGACAAATTCTAAATATACATTTCTAAATATTTCTCTTTTATAAAAATTTTCTAATACCCTAATTGATTCTAATCGCTTCTAAAATGACTCCTCTTTTTCTTTTTTTTTCATTTTCTTCTTTAATTTATACCAAACGTATCTCAAATATATGAAGATCGTTAAATATAAAAAAAAAAAAAAAACTAAATTAATTTCATCTAAACTTTCTAAATTTTATTCTAAATAATAGGAACTCCATAGGAGTTCCTGAAATTAAATTAATTTTTTTATTAAAACTTTCTAAATTCATTCCAATGCGTATCTCAAAACCTGATACCATCGAATTAATTTTATCTAAGCTTTCTAAATTTATTCTAAACATATATATATATATATATATATATATATATAATATGTTTTTATGTATGAGTTATTAACTGAACTATTTAAATTTTATCCTAAAAAATATCTAAGTATTTCATGAAATTAAATTGATTTAATTAAAAATGTTTCAATCTATTTTAAACGATCAATATCATATAAACTAATCCAATAACATTTATAATTTCTAAATTTATTCTAAACATACCTTTAGAAAGTCATCATTAATTTCATCTAAAACTTATATAAGTTTGTTCTAAACAAATACATCTTAGATGTTCGAGATAATATTAAAAAAAAAAAAAAAAAAAAAAAAAAAAACTAAGCGTATCTACAATTTCTAAATTTATTCTAAACATACCTTAGAAAGTCATAATTAATATCATCTAGAATTTTTATAAATTCGTTCTATTAAACATAACTTAGAAACTTAAAGAAATTAAATAATTCATAGTAATTTTATATAATATATCTAAATTTATTCTAAACATATCTTAGATCCTGGGGATTATATATAATCAAAATAATTTCGTTTAAAATTTCTACATTTATCCTAAACGTAACTTAGACGTCGAGAACAATATAATCAAACTAATCGTATTTACAATATCTAAATTTATTCTAAACATACCTTAGAGAAGCTTTCGAGTTTACATACGAACTAATCCCATCTACAATTTCTAAATTTATTCTAAACATACCATGGATACCGAGGATTACGTAACCAAGCTAATCTAATATCAAATTTCTAAATTAATTCTAAGCGTAACTTAGAAATACGAATATCAATTCGATATTTAATATTTCTAAACTTTTCTCTAATAAACGCGTAATAGAAAAATTTCAAGAAATTTTAACTATTGCACTAATCAACATATAAAATTTCTAAGTCAATTCTAAACGCAGCTTTAAAAAAAAAAAAAAAAAAAAGAAAGAAAAAAAGAAAGACTTCAAAAATTATCTAACGATCGAAATAATTCAAAATACTAAATCAATTCTAAACGTATGTATCATTAGAAGTTTAGAAATTTATTAACCATAATTAAAATCGATTTTGATAATTTTCAAAATTTTAAAATCCAAATCTCGCGTTTAAATGCAGATTTAAATATGTTTCGAACGTTAATCGGATTTGTTGATTAATCTCTTGATTCAAATTTTATATATTTCGAGTGAAATATTTCGTTCTGAAAAAAAAAAAAAGAAAAAAAAACAGATATATATATTCGATAAATTTTTTATATCGAAGTGATTGATTGGACGTAGAATTTTGATTTGAAAATTTTAAACGTATCAGAAAAGAGAACTTACCTCGAGGGCTGGTAGACTGTCCAATGAGGAAAGAGGACGAGTATTTGGCACCTCCCCTGGGAAAACACTGTCGTGAGATACTGACAATTTCCCTGTACCACCTCGTAACTTTACGAAAGAATCTTCGGTTCCATTTCTTCTTAGAAATACACTGAAAAATAATAATGAATTAGAAATAATAATAATAATAATAACAACAATAACAACAATAACAATAATAATAATAACAACAACGATAACAACAATAATAATAATGATGATAAATTACGATTTGTTTTCTAAAGAAAAAAAAAAAAAAAAAAAAAAAAAAAAAAAAAAATATATATATATATATATATAAAAAAAAAAAAAAATACATTTTTCCAAAAACGACAAATACAAACGGTACTGTAATCATTTAAAAAATTGATAAAATGATTATTCTTTTTCTTTTTATTATTTTAATTTTTATTTTTTTATTTATATATTTTTTTTTTTCTTTCTTGTAACTCGTGACACAATCAATGGTGTTAGAAATAACATTAGGTAATTGCAATGGATTAGACAAAATTTACGATAGCGTTTAAGAATATGCTGATGACTAATGACGACTTTTTTTACGAAATATATAATTCTAATTTTTAATTAGAAAAATTAATTAGGGATATACGGAATGTATAAAAGAAACGTTAAAAATTCGAACAAATGAAATCAATCATTGAAGTAATATTTTCTTAAAACAAATCTAATCTAAAATTTTTTTCTAAATTTACGTGGCATTAGAAAAAAAAAGAACTGAAATAAATAACAAAAAAATTGGAAACAAAATAAAAAATACAAACATACAAATATCTCGAAAATTAATTCAATCGTTTGAACAAATATTTCCTAATACAAATACAATTAAAAAAAAAAAAAAAAAATTTTTTTTTAACAAATAAAAAATATTCATATATATATATATACATATACAAATATCACGAAAATGAATACAATTATTTCAACAAATATTTCGTAAATTTTACAGAAATAAATTCGTTCTAACTTGTTCTAAATTTACGTATTACGTAATAGTATTAGAAAAAAATAAACAGAAAAAAAAAAAAAAAAAATATATATATATATATATACAAAAAAATTCTAAAAACTAGTTTGGATCAAAGCGAACGATATATTTTCCTGGAAATAAATCTAATCCAATCTTTCTAAATTTTACATAATCAACGTACTATAAACAAGTAAAAACCGTGGAAAGAAATTTTTTTTTCGAAGCGGTGCAAAGTTCATTAAAAAAAAAAAAAAAAAAAAAAGAAAAAAGAAAAAAGGAAAATACAAAAAATAAATAAATAAATAAAAAAGCAGAACAACTTTTGCATTAGACAAAAGAAAAAAAATAATAATAATTCATCGATATACTATTAAAACCAGTTCTAGAAATATAGTTAGAAAAGAGAATGTAAATGTTACAGTTCTAATCGAGGTCAAGGGGGCCCAGGATCTCAGTTGTAACATTAGAATATAAGACCCTTAGAAATCGAATACCACGATCGATAGATCGATCGATCGATGCCGTCCTAAAAGCATGATTTATTTACACGTAGCAAACAAAATCTAATGAGGCCCAAATACAGACACACACACACACGAACACAAACACAAAAAAGAACTTGCACAAATACAATTACGAATTAAAATTTGAAATTCGTCCGATTAGAACTTTTTCATTATTAGAATTCGATATCAATGACAACGCGATTGTACGTGATCCAAAAAAAAAGAAAAAAAGAAAAAAATATTACAAACATAAAAAATAAAAAAGAAATTGAGAGAAATAATAGGAAAAAGTTAAAAAACGAAAAAAAAAAGAAGAAAAGAAATTAAGTATAAAAAAAAAATAATAATAATAAAAAAAAAAAAATAAAAAGAACGAGAGAAGATCAGAGTGTATCAACCAATCAGATTGTCTGGATTCAAACGATCAAGGACAAATTCTCGAAGGACACTAGGACAGTAATAAAATGAGACAAAGAAATAAAAATAATAAAAACAAAAAGAAAGAAGGGAAAAAAAATGAAAGAAAAAGACAAATAATTCAATTTTTTGGGAAAAAAATTTCCAAAGAAAAAAGAAAAGAAAGGACGAGACTAGAGTACCAAAGTACAAATACGAATTAATGATCAAGGACGAATTCTCAAAGGACACTATACGACAATGAAATATAATAAATTAAAAAGAAAAAAAAAAAAAAAAAAAAAAAAAAAACATATATATATATATAAAAAAAAAAGAAATAAATAAAATAAAAAAAATTCTAAAGAATTGAAATTGTAATGAATGAATAAATAAATAAATAAATAAATAAATAAATAAATAAATAAATAAATAAATAAATAAATGATCAAAAAAAAAATTACAAAGAAGAGAGAACGATTAAAATTAAAGAAAAAAAAAAAGAAAAAGAAAAAGAAAAAGAAAAATAATTGCTTTGTTACTTTTTTTTTTTGTTTTTTTTTTTCGAATGATAGATAAAAAAAAAAAAAAAGAATTTTCGATTCGAGATATTTACTGCTTGAAGGACCTTCGAGGCTTCACCGGGGTAACCAATCTATAGCTTCGAGATGATAGTCCAATCGAAGTAATTGAAGAAATTGAACTTCTTTTACTGCTGCAAATAATATATTTCAAGGAATGATTATATTTTCGTATAATTAAATTATACGAAATTAAATAATATCATCTTTTTTCCTTTAATTAGATCTGATTATTTTCTATTCCTTCCTTCCTATCACCTTTATCCTCCCTATTGCACAAACTCCCACCCCTTCATTATCAACCTACTTCACCCTATCTCACCCCACTTCACCATCTACTGGCAAATCATTATTAATATCGTTTCTCGTCCAATCATTACGAACAGGATATGAAAAGAATTTTTATGTAATTAATTGAAATCGTTTGGAAATTAATTTGTTTTGAAAAAAAAAAAAAAAAAAAAAAGAAAAAAAGAAAAATTAAATAGAAAAAAAAAAAGTATTAAAGAAGAGAAATAATCATGTAAATATTTATTTGTATATTAATATAAATATATAAAATATGTTCTATAGAAGAATTTATTCTAACAAATAAAATTGATAGAAAATTAAATCGCTTTAAAAAAAAAAAAAAAAAAAAAAAAAATGGAAAAAGAGAAATAAATATTTAAATATTTTTTTGTAATATTAATAAATATATATAAATATATAAAATAATAAGTAATAAATATATATAAATTATATTAATATAAATATATACATAATATAATAAATAATATACATATATAAATCATATTAATATAAAATTATATATATATATATATTTATAAAAGAAAAATATAATAATTAATAATAAATAATAAATAATAAATAATAAATAATAAATAATAAATATATAAATTATAATTAATATAAACAAATATATATAAATTATATTAGTATAAATATTCATATATCAAATAAGGAACATATAAATTATATTAATATAAATATATATAATATATATATATATATATAAATAAAAAAGAAAAATATAACAATGAACTATAAATATATAAATTATTTTTATATAAAATTATATATATATATATAAAAAGGGAAGGAAAATATAATAATAAATAATAAAGATATAATAAATATTAATATAAAATATATATAATAAATATGAATATTTATATATCTAAAAAAAATAAAAAAAATTAATAATTAAAAAAAAAAAATATGATAATAAATATACCTCTCGTGATCGCAGGTGTCTGTTAATAGCTCGCTGGCACTTCTACTTCGTGCTTCTTCGGCCCTTCCAGCAGGATGTCTTATTGTAACATCTTCCCGCGGGATCCGTGCCAATTCCGAACTATCCCGTTCTCCGTTTCCGATCGTACCTGGTGCTGATACTAAACGTACATCAGCCGGGCCACGGCTTTTCCTTCGAAAAATTTTTCTCAATCCCCTTAGCGGATGGAAACGACGTTTTTTTGGTTCTATAAAAAAAATTAACAAAATGATCGATTCCTTTTTCAATTAACTTCATTTAATCTGCTAAACTTTCCAATATCTTAAGATTTCTAATCTATTAAAGCCGCCATAGTCTTATCTATTATTACATATATATATAACGATTTTCTAACATCGTTTTTTCTAATCTTTGTAAAAAAAATCTATCGATCGAATCTTTTTTTCTCTTTTTTTTTTTTTTTTTTGGATTAAAAAAAAAGAGAAAAGAGAAATATATATATATATATTCATATACAAAATTATTTAATATTATTTTTAAAATTATAGTTTAAATATTTATTAAAAAAAAAAAAAAAAAAGAAAAAAACAATAATAACAAAAAAATTAATCTAGTAAATTAATTACATTCATATATAATATAAATATATATATTTTTGTTTTATATTCTAACGTTAATACCAATAACAACGATGATAATAATAATAATAATAATAATAATAATAATAATAATAATAATAATAATAATAATAATAATAATAAAATAAAATAAAAATAAAAAAAGAAAATATATCAAATTACTACTTTCCTTTCTTTCTTCTTTCATTTCATGTTCACTTTTCATTTTTTCTTTTGTTTTATTTCTTATCTAATAAAACATCAAAATGTCAATCAACAATTATTATCACAATTTGTTGCAACGATTAGAAAGCACAAAAAGATGCAAGAAAAGAAAAAAGAAAAAAGAAAAAAAGAAGGCAGAAGAGAAAAATTCCCTGGACCAATTATTTTCCAGTTATTTTTTTTTATTTTTTATTTATTTATTTTTTTTTTTTTTTTTTTTTAGAGAGATAAAAGAACGATAAGATGAAGAAAAAGGTATCTTACCAAGGAAATCGTTTAGATCGATGAAACTATTCATTTTATTTTCCATTGTCACTTAATTAATTGCAAAAAAAGAAAAAAAGAAAAAAAAGAAAAAATAAAATAGAGGAAAAAAAAAGAAAGAAAGAACTATACATATATACATACATATACATACATATACGTATATATACATATAAATACATACATAGTTTTATGAACAAGAAGTTAAACTACATATATACTATAATACCTGCACCTGACTGACTTTAACATCGACGGGTCTCATAACATTGGGAACGGCATCGATAAGATTAGAAAACGTTTGATAACTCTATCGGTTTCGATATATATCTTTAGCCGACGTGAAAAACGTTTTTAATAAAGTCTACGGGTTTTGTATGTGTCAGTATGCGTACATACGTGTTTATACGAATACAAATATAGATTCTACTTTGTGCACGTCTATGTGCATTATTATTATTATTATTATTATTATTATTATTATTATTATTATTTCTTTTTTAGATTGCTAAAAAGAAAAATGTTTAATAATAATAATAATTACATTTAATGTTTGAATATATATGTGTGATATTCGTATTATTATTTGTCTTTTCCTTTTTATTATTGACAAAAAATAATAATGACGATAATAATGATGATGATGATGATGATGATAATGATAATGATGATGCATCTATTGTTTGCACGTGCATGTGCATTATTATATTTTTTTTTTTCCTTTTTATTTTTTTTTCATTCATATAAAAACAAAAAAATTAATAATCTTCCAACATCTACTGTTTACATGTGCATACGCATTATTATTATTTTTTTTTTTTTTTTGTTAACAAAAATAAAAAAAGAAAATAATAATAATAATGATGATGCACTTGCATCTATCGTTTGCACGTGTATGTGCATTATTTTCTTTTTTTCTTTTTTTTTTTTTTTTAATAGTAAAAAGAATTCACTTGCATTATTTTTTATTTTTAATTGAAAAAGAATAATGATAATTCATTTACACCTACTGTGTGCACGTGTAAGTGCATTATTATTTTTTTTTCTTACTAAAAAAAATAAAAAAAAAATAAAAAAGAAATAAAATCGATGAAGAAAAGAAATTGGGACTTACGAGGAGACTCGAACTTGAAACTCTTTTTTTTTGTGAGCCTTAAGATTTGTTTTTCAATGTACTACAATATTATCATGCTTTTGGGGCCTTCAGATGTATACAGTGCTGACCCCTATTTTTGAGGCCTTACGATATTTTTTTGAACATACTACGATATAATAATTCTATATAATAAATTCTAATAATTTTATTATTTATTTATTTGTTTGTTTGTTTGTTTGTTTTTTGTTTTACTTTTTAGAAACGATTCTATAACTTTTTTTCTTTCTTTTTTTTTTTTTTTTTTTTTTTTCTTTCCTTAAGAGAAAAATGTTAATGAGCTTGACTACAGTATAATCGTACGATAGAAATGATAAAATAGGAAGAAACTTGAATATACTATATATATATATATATATATATATATATATATATATATATATATATCTGGAACGATTCAGGCGTGACATTGTTTTTCACGGTTGACCAATAACAAAATCGTTCGTGCATCACATTAATGGCCGCGACTTTTGCGAATAATGGCAGAAACTAAAACTTCTTTCTCCTTGTATTCACGGAAAATTTTCTTTCTTTCTTTCCCCCCCCCCACCTTTCCATTTCCCTTTTCTATCCCCTCTTTCACTCTCCTTAACGTAATCCGTGTACAGAATTGTTCAAAAGTTTCTGAGCGAATATTAAAAAAAAAAAAAAAAAAAAAAAAAAGAAAAGAAAAAAATGATTACAATAAACTCCTTCGAGACTAATTCGACTAATTATTATTATTATCTTTACTCTTGTTTCAATTTTTATTCTTTTTCAAATCGTGAAAACTGCAACGAAACTATGAATCTTTTGAATGACCCTGTATATGTATGTTATATTTTAGATTTAATCCCTTTCAATGCTTAGAGAAAATTATTAGACGTGATTATCGAACGAGTTTTATCAAGAAAATTATATCTCCACGTTGGTACTTAGATTGGAATTCTATTGAACCAAAAGAGAGAAAGAGGTATATAGAAATCGTGAAAGTGGGTCATGGCCAATCAGTGGGCGAGAATAGTCGAATGTTTGCAGGAACAATGAAAACTATACAATGATCGAATCCGCAGTCGAAAAAAAAAAACAAAAAAAGAAGAGAAAACTATAATGAATCGATTATCGATCAATTGATCAAAATCATTTGTTCAAACCGGTATATATATATATATATATATATATATATATATATATATATATATACCTAGAGCATTACAATGTATATACATTAAGTGAAAGTTACAACGCTATAAATATATATATATATATATATATATATATATATATATATATATATATATATATATATGTCTCCTCGCTATGGTAATCACTCGTTCTGATTTAATTATGAAATAGATATAAATATCCCTAGAAGAATTATAATAAATTTCCCTAGAAGTTACTGAACTTTGACAAAATCATAAAAAAGATTGATAAACCTTACCAATTTGTTATTTTGCAATTACAATTAAATTGAAAAATCTTAAGTAACAATGGCATAAACACCAACAACAACACACCAACAACAACAACAACAACAACAACAACAACAATAATAATAATAATAATAATAAATAAATAAATAAATAAATAAAGGAAGAAAAAATACTGACCTTTGGGTAAAGGATCGACGCTACTGTTTGACGATAAATCGCCAATTCCAAATCCACGAGTCTGTTGTTGCTGATTATGCTGATGATGCTGATGATAATGATGATGATGATGATGATGATTTGGGGGTGGTGGAGAAGCTTCTCTGACGCAGCCCATTAAACTTAAAGCGCCGCTGACACTTCCACCACCACCACCACCACCTCCTCCTCCTCCTCCTCCTCCTCCCCCACCTCCTCCACCACCACCTCCACAGCTCCCACCTCCCCCACCACTATTACCCGCAGTTGACATTCTGCCACTCTGAAACATCCCGAAGAACCAAATGGCCACATATGATTCACGAACACGTTGATACCAATTTGTTATGAACGAATTGTCACGTGACTTCCAACTCTTCCATCCATCCATCTTTTTTGATTTTTTTTTTCTTTTCTGTTTTTTTTTTTTCCCCTTTTTCTTTTCGTTATTTAATCCGATCAGATCGCCACCGTCTCTACGATACGATATTATTTCGTTTGTATTGGAATTAATTCGATATTAATTCGTATAATAGTTTCTCTTTTTATTAATTCATTTATTTATTTTTTTATTTTCTTTAATAATCTTATTTTAATTCTTATCCTATTTTTTTTTTTTTTTTTTAATTATCTTTTAAATATCCTTCAATTATCTTCCCTTTTTCATTTTTATTCCTATTTATTTTCTTTTTCCCTTTACAGAGAACTGAATATCAATGAGTTTTAATAATTACGATTATGCAATTTCAATTGAATTTGAATTTTTATTATTGTTTTTCTTTGTTCGGAATTTTGCTCGCGAAGGAACAAAAGGATTTATTTAATTTATATTTTTGTCCACTTATTCGAAAGAGAGATTTAACTTTCTTTTCTCTCTCTCTTTTTTTTTTTTTTTTT